CAACTTGGGTGCTGGTGTCTGAGCTGCAGCTACAGACTTCTCTATAGATACATATCTATTTAACCTTCCTTAAACTAAAAGGACTTCTAGAGAATAGCTCCTTGTCTTATAAAAGGACTGTCAGCCCAGAGAGCTTCTGTGCCTTGTCGGTAGCAGCAGAGCCAGTACCCCAATGCCCCTGCTCTCCTGTTTTGAGTCACATTCTCCACAGAGCAGCTTGGCCTTCCCAGCTCTGTGTGAATCAGCCCTGTTCTCGCTTGCATCCTGTCTCGAATCACTAGAGCAGCCTCTGGGTTCTTTCACAGCTCCCTGTTCTCTGAAATGAGGCCTGTCCCAAGCCTGATGTGGAAGCTGCTCTTCAGTCTCCACGCCTGCCCACCTCCTCTGAACCTCAGGCCAGTGCGGGCGCTCCCTCCTGCATCCCTTACCCACAACTGTGCTCTCTGGTCTCTACCTTATAATGTTTCTTGAATGTCTTGAAGGCGTTCTCACATGCTGACAGAAGCCAAAGAGGCAAAGACAGTGGCAGCATCAGAGGGCTGAGACCAGGTGTGGAGGGGAGGACACCAGGATGGACTCATGAGCCCATGCCTCATCCTGAGGCAGCCACCGTGGGTGTTGACCCGGTGCTAGCAGAGTTGCAGGTTTCTCAAGATAAACAGAAAGTTGAATTTTATGTAAAGTCTTCCAGTTTTTAATTTTAGTTACTAGTTTCTGAAAACTTGTACACTGTATAAACAAAAGAAAACATACCAGCCAATGAGCACTACCTTGCACCTTCACTCCTTCCTCTCAGCCATTTGTCATTGATTAGGGCAGTGGACTCCCACTGGGTCTAAGGAGACTGTCTAAAAGTTGCCTCTTCAAGCCATCTTCCGACCTGCCCAAGAGTTACATTTCTGAAACAAACATTGTGTCAGTATATTCTTTTTATCTAACACTTCTGAGTGGCACCTCCTCATTTATTCATTGATGACAGGAGCCAGATATGCTGACACACATAACCCCTAAGTCTCCCAGTTAGGTCAGCCTCCTTACACAGCCCTCACATGGACTCTGTCCTCCTCTGGGCATCAAAAGGTACCAGCTGCACCCAGCCATGGGAGGGGCCTCTCCCTCTCCCACCCTCTCCCTCCCCCACCCACAAAACCCTTTCCCTCCCCAGCGCCGTTACTCCCTTCTTTCCAAGAGAAAAGAATTCTTCTCAAATTTTTTATTTTTTCATAAATATGTTTAATTTTTAATTAAGAATAATGCAATAATAATAATAATGAATAATAGTCTTTCCTCTTATCTCTGCATTCTCTTATTGCTATGGTCTTAATGTTTGTATCTTCCCCAAAATTTGTGTGTTGAAATCTTCACCCCCAGGATATTAGGGGCTGGGGCCTTTGGGATTAACATCCTTATAAAAGAGGCCCATGAGAGAGTCCTTCACCCTTCCACCGTAGGAGGTTGCTTCTAAAAGACAGCTGTTGACAAGGCAGCAGGCCCTCACCAGATGCCAAACCTGCTGGTGCCTTCATCTAGAACTTCTCAGCCTCTAGAACAATGAGCAATACGTTGCTGTTGTTTATGAGCCACATCTGTGGTATTTTTGTTAGAGCAGATCAAATGAACTAAAACACCTATCTTGTCTTTCTCCCTTATTTCTTCTAGCCTCCTTGCAATTTCTCAAACGTGGAAAACCTCTTTCCCATCCTAGGGTTTTGTACATGCAATGCTCTCTGTTGTCATTATTCTTCTCTCAGCCTTTGCGTGACTGGTTGCTTCCCTCACTTTAGGCTCAGCGTAAAGATCACTTCCTTCAAGAAGCTTTCCCTGACGACCCTGGCTAGACCGACCCACCACCCCAGTGCTGTCTCTTCACAGCACTCTTTATTTCCTTCCTAACACTCACACAATCTGTGGGTGCCCTGTTGTGTGTGATTGGTCTCTCTCGCCAAGGAGCAAAGAGGGCAGGGACTGTTTGCCTGCTACCCTGTACCTAACGCCTCACAGGGCCTATCCAGGATGCAGTCCTGCTGTATTTAGCACATAAATGGATGGATCATTGATTTACTAGACACCCCTAGAAGGCCAAGACACTGTTTTGGGGCACAATGACAAACCCCCAAATGCTTTTGTTATTAAAAATCTTGTGACACTTATTTCATGGCTCCGCAGCTCTTCATGCCTCACTGAGTCTGTTGCACGTCCATTATCTGGCTTGGCAATTTTGTACTTGGCTCATTTCTTGTGTTCAAGCGAATCAAGATGTCTCTTAAGAAATAACAACTCACACTTAAGTCTACAAATTCAGAATGAATACTTTCCAAATACTCTCAAGACTTATAAATAAGGGCTAAAGAGCTGTTTTGTTTTCTCACAGGACACATGCTAATCATCTAGAGAATCTTTACTTCCAATGGAAATAAATCAAAGAAACAAACCAACTTTCAGAATAGCAGAGTGAGGACACAGTAGATTCTTTTTTTTTTTTTTTTAATTTTATTTTTTGTAGAAAGTGATTTATTTAGAGAGAGAGAAATGGGAGAAGGAGAGAGAAAGAAACAGCAAACTCTCACACTGAGTGGGAGAATCCAGAAAGATGGAACCCAGGAGAGGAAAGCGGCTTCCACACTGAGTGGAAGGGAATAGAGATAGATGGAGTTTAGGAGGGGAAGACAGGCTTCCACGAAGGGAATGTTCGTAGAAGCGGACCCAAACATGGAGTCCCAGTAGATTCTCTCTCTAACAAACATTTAGCTAGAGAAAATTATGAAAGACAAGCATTTAAAAATTCTAGAAATTGTCCTAAGGGCATACAGCAAATGGATAAACATTCTGTGAATGGAATAAATAATAACTACTAAATCTCAGTGAGAATATCAAGCCTGTGGCCTGTGAGCCACAACCCACTCCCCTACCATCCAAACTCATTTTATAGAGGCTAACCTGGGGTTCTACTTCAGGGGGTCCAGTCAAGAAGATGGTCCTCTCTACCCCCAACCCCCAGTATAGGGTACATTTCACCCTTCATGGCCAGCTTTCAGCATCTCTCATCACCTACCAGATGAGTCAGGCCAAGACCTGGTTGTCCCATCCCAGCTCACCGATAGGTTAGAGGCTTCATGCTAGAGAGGCCAACCTGGAAGAATAGTCGTGGAGGGGTAAAGCAGGCAATAGAAACTGCATTTGGAGAGGTCCAGATGTTTGATTTAGCAGATGAAGATTTCAAAGCAGCCATTATAACTATGTCCAAAGAACTGAAGGAAACCATGTCTAAATAATTAAAGGAACATATGTTAACACTGTCTTATCAAATAGAGTGTCAATTAAAAGATACAAACTATGAAAAAAACCAAATGGAAATTCTGGTGTTGAAAAGAACAGCAATCGAAGTGAAAAATTCACCAGAGGGGCTCAACCGTAGATTTGAGAGGGCAGAAAAAAGAATTCGTGGACTTGAAATTAAGATAATCAGGCTGGGCATGGTAGCTCACGCCTATAATCCAAGCATTTTGGGAGGCTGAGGCTGGTGGATCACTTCAGCTCAGGAGTTCGAGACCAGCCTGGGCAACATGGAGAAAGCCCATCTCTACCAAAAATACAAAAATTAGCCTGGTGTGGTGGACCTGGGAGGCTGTGGTAGAAGGATCACTTGAGCCTGGGAGGTCGAGGCCGCAGTGATCCATGATTGTGCCACTGCACTCAAGCCTGGGTGACAGAGTGAGACACTGTCTCAAAAAAAGAGAGTGAGAAAGAAATTAAGCTAAGATTGTGCAATCTGAGAGAGAAAGGACTGTAGGATACAAAAGAGAGCCTCATAAAAATGTTGGATGTGATTAAGTTCACCAAAATATGTGTAATGAGAATGTCAGAAAGAGAGAGGATGATGCAGAAAATATTTGAAGAAATAATAGCTGAACACTTGTCAAATTTGATGAAAATTTTTAATATGTATATCCAGGAAGCTCGGTGAACTCAAAGGAGGATACAGTCAAAGAGATCTACACCCAGACACCTCATAGTCAAAATGTTGAAAACCAGAGATAAAGAGGAAATCTTGAAAACAACAAAAGAAATATGTCTCAGCATATAGTAATACAAGGGAATCCCAGTGACCGTCCCACTGACTTCTCATCAGAAACAATGGAGGCCAGAAGGCACTGGGATAGTATCTTCAAAATGCTGAAAGAAACAAATTACTTACACCATACTTTCTTTCTGGCCTTTAATTCCTGAGGCTAGGTCAGTAGGATTGAACATTAATTGTTTCATCTTAGACAGCTCATCTTTTAATTTTTATAGAAACCAAAGACCACAGTTGTTCATCTTCATTTTGAAGTGTTCTAGCTTTTTACTTGTTTGGACTAGACCTGCTTATTAGCCACAGAACCCTGATTTTTGTATAAAATTTCCTTTAGTCACAGAACCATGAGAAATTAGTTTGTACTATATAAATGTCTTATAGCCACTACAAATTAATGTCATACATATCTGTGGAAATGTTAAGACTAGTTATCTTAAGATAGGTGGTACATTCTTCTGGATATCACCTGCTAAATACTGCTTATACACAGTATGCATACGTAAAATCATGTGTTTCTGGATCAGGTGACCACTCAGGGATTTCCTGGCATTCTTGGGTATAAAATATCATATTACCAAGGAGATTGAACACAGTAGTAATTATGTACAGTTTTGATATCTTAAAACACACGTTAGAAAAAACATTGCTAACAACATTTTGGTGATAGTGCTAATTTTTGAGAAACACATATTAATACTTTGTGAATATTAGTGCTTAATAAAACATAAATTTTTTGCTTTTATGTTGAAACATAATTTGGAAGAGCTTTAAATAGAAGGCCATTTGAAATAACCTCTTATCCATTTATGCTGTGGTTTTCCTAGCCACTTTAAAAATTCATCACTTTTTATTTATTTATTTATTCATTTATTTATTTTTGAGACAGAGTTTCACTCTTATTACCCAGGCTGGAGTGCAATGGCACGATCTCAGCTCACTGCAACCTCTGCCTCCTGGGCTCAAGCAATTCTCCTGCCTCAGCCTCCTGAGTAGCTGGGACTACAGGCGTGCGCCACCATGCCCAGCTAATTTTTGTATTTTTAGTAGAGACGGGGTTTCACCATGTTGACCAGGATGGTCTTGATCTCTTGACCTGGTGATCCACGTGCCTCGGCCTCCCAAAGTGCTGGGATTATAGACGTGAGCCACCATGCCCGGCCAAAAATTCATCACTTTTTAATTACTGTGTTTGACAGGTTAATTAATAAATTTTTAAGTATTTGTAGTTTTTTGTTCTTCCAGTTCTGTAGGCCGTTAAACTGTGCTTTCCAATAGGGTGGCCACTAGCCACATTTGATTATTTATGTTTAAACTAATTAAAATTCAAATTTAAAATGTAGTTCCTCAGTTGTATCAGCCATATCTCAAGTAAGTGCTCAGTAGCCACGTATGACCAGTGGCTACCACATTAGACAACAAAGACATAGAACATTCACTTCATCCTTGCAGAGAGTCGTCTATTCCTTATTGCCGACTACAGTGGTATGTAAATCAATTTTACCCGCACTTGAATTCTAATGGAGGTTTAGCTCTGGAAATTAAGCTGGTAATTCCCCACTTTTGTAAATTTAAAGAGACATTTGTATCAAATATGCTTATATATTCTTTTCATTTTATTGTTAGTTTGCTTATTTAATGTTGTATGGTTTTGGGCGAGATAGTAAATCTTTCTGGTCTTCAGTCTTGTATGTGCTAAATAGGGATAATAATAGCCTAGCTCTCAAGGGCCTTTTGAGGAGAAGAATGCAAATAGAACAGGATCTGGCACTAACTGACAGCTGTCAAGATGATGAACCTCTAACCCACATACGCTATGAAAAAAATTAATGTTTATATTTTAAGCTTCAAATTTGTGGGAGTGATGTATTATATAGCAACATACAATGGATGCAGTAAGAGTTAATAACAAAAATAATATATTTTAAAGCCACTGTAAAATTTGAAAAATACTTCCAAATAACTATTGGATCAAAAAAGAAATAATGACAATTTTAAAATCTACAACTGATAAAAAAATAAAAATACTAAATATTAAAATTTATTTGATGTCATTAACTTGATATTCAGAATAAATTTTAGTCAAATTAGCTCAACTTTTAAAAAAAGAAAGGTACCAGGTGCAGTGGCTCATGCCTGTAATCCTGGTACTTCTGGAGGCCCAGGCAGGCAGATCACCTGAGGTCAGGAGTTCGAGACCAGCCTGGCCAACATGGTGAAACTCCTTCTGCATTAAAAATACAAAAATTAGCCAGACATGGTGGCACATGCCTGTAGTCCCAGCTACTGGGAAGGCTGAAGCATGAGACTCACTTGAACCTGGGAGGCAAAGGTTGCAGTGACCCAAGATCATGCCATTGCACTCCAACCTGGGCAACAGAGGGAGACTCAGTCTCAAATAAATAAATAAAAATCAAAAGAAGAAAGGACTGGATACAGTGGCTCATATCTGTAATCCCAGCATTTTAAGAGTCCAAGGCAGCAAGATTGTAAGAGACCAGCCTGAGCAGCATAGCAAGACCTCATCTCTTTAAAATAAAAAGAGAGAAAAAAAAAGGAAAAGCCAGGCATGGTGGCATGTGTTTGTGGTCCCAACTACTCAGGAGGCTGAAGTAGGGGGATAGCTTGAGAGAAAGCCTGCAAATTAATGAGCTAAGCCTCCAACATAAGAAATAGGAAAAGAATAATAGAATTAGTCCAAAGAAAATGGAAAAAAAATTATAAGAGTAGAAATTAATGACATAAATGATGACTAAACAAAAGCAGGAAATAATAACAATCCTATGGTAAAATTGATAAAGAAAAGATAAATAATAGTAAAAAGGAAAATTAGGAATATCAATTCCATCAGGGACTAGAAACAGATGTGCTCACTTTGGCAGCATGTATACTGTAATTGGAAAGATACGGAGAAGATTAGCATGGCCCCGGGGCAAGGATGACATGCAAATTCATGAAGCATATTTTTGAGTAATATTAATAAAACTTGAAAAAAGTAAGAATATTGCTATTAAGTTTGAAAATAGACAAGATAGAAAAATCCCTAGAAAAATATATTACCAAAATATCTTAAGAAAAAAATTTTAAAATTTAAATAGTCCGATTATCATTAGAGATGTTGAGCTGGTAGTTTAGAATCTTCTCAGGAAAAAAACAAACAAACAAACAAACAAAAAAACACTAAAGCTGAATGATTTTATTACCTAATTATTTCAAACTGTCAAAACAGTTTATTTGAGTCTTATACTTTGTATCTAAAATTTTCAAAAGAAAAAAGGTAATCATCAACTCATTCTGTGAAGCTGATATAATGATCTTGATACCATATTTAGTATAAAAATAAAATTAAAGATCAATATCATTAACGGACCTAGAGACAAAAATCCTAAATAAAACATAGCAAATAGGATCTTGGCTTTACATCAGGAGTGAAAAATTACTTTAATACTTGGAAAGAATTTGTAATTGGTCATTTGCCATGTTAACATGTTAAAGGGGAAAAACAGTTAGTTCAATTAATACAGATAATGCATTTGATAAAATCCAACACTGATTCATTATTTAAAAAAAAAAAAAATTCCTTAGCAAACTAGGAATCCCTACCTGGGTGAAGGAAATCTACAAAAAAAAAAACAAAAACAAAAAACTACCAACAATAAAGCAAACATTAGTGACTGTAAAACATTGAAGACTTTTTCTTTAAAGTCGGAACAAAATAAGGATGCCCAGTCACTGGCTTCTCTTCAGCATTGCCCTGAAGGTTCTAAAAGGCAGTCAGAAAAGAAAATGAGAAGCAAAATTGGAATTATGAAATGATTGCCTAGAAGTATATTAAAAGGATTACAAATAATAATAAAGTTTAGTTAAGTTGATAGATTATTACAGAAGTTCAGTATACAAGGCCGTTGTATTCTTACACACCAGCAACATGCAACAATAAACAAAAACACCACTTAAAATAGAACACAGAACCGTAGACAATCTAGACATAGATCTAACAAAACAGGTACGAGAGCTATATGGAGAAAATTATAAAATTTTATTATAAAAGTGGACCTAAGTACCCCACTAAGAAGAAGATTTCTTTACCAGTCACTGTACCATGTCCTGTATCACTGTATCATGTGAATGACTTTAATGCTCACAACACCTCTCTAAATTAGATTTTCTTATTTTGTGTTAAAAATGAATAAATTCAAGCTCATACAGATAAGTAACTTTTACAAGATCCAAAGTTACTGACATGATGCTGCCACCCCAGGAAGCCATTTGTGTTCCACTGAATATGATAAAATTTATGATAAATACCTGGTGGTTCAAGAAAAACAAGTCAGTCATGGGGACACTTTGCTGCTCAGACCTGTCACACTAGCACAGATTTTAGGAGATAGTGTTTCACTGGGCAGGAAGCATTGACAAGTGGGTGGAATTCAACGCAGGCTGCTGATAAGCTCACGCTGGTCTGGGCGGTCTGTGGAATGCCACAGTTCTAATCCAGTTGAACCAGGGGGTTGATGACTCCACCTCGGGCCTGAGCCAGCCTGCCTCTGAACTGCAGCTGTGTGAGAAGAACAGAGTGGGAGAGTGTGTGGTGGGTGTGAACACCAGGAAAAGAATAGTGATAACTCACCTCTAGGGTAAAAGAATAGACAGAAGCACCCTTCCTTGCTGTTTGAGACAAAGGAAAATGTCAGGGCAAACTTAAGGCAAAGGTAGTAGCCAGTTCTACACCTCTCCCTTCTCAACACTAACAATCAAAAATATAGAAGCCTTGTATATGGATCTGTGGGGATTTTTGTATTTGTCTTGACTTTTGTATAGGTTAAAAAATAACATTTAAAGCAAAGTCTTGGGCATATCAGGAGGAGATGAGCAGGCCTTAATATAATCACATGTGAAGGGTCGAAGGCCACCATGGTTGTTCTCTATCAGGAGAGCCTGGAGATTTCTCCTAGGAAATGCAGCCTGGTCCTACCTCCAGTTCCCCTCCATGTCCTGGTCCCCGAGGCTTGGCCTGGACTTCCCTATTTAGATATGGAATGGAGAAGTGAGTCATGTGAAGAGGTAACCAGAGGTAAAGAGGCCTTTAAATGGATGTATAGACAAAAAAAAAAAAGACATTATAAATTCAACATCAAAATGTATGCTTTTATACCTGCTCTCAGGTAGCATACGGAAACTAAAAAAACCTCAGCACTTGGAGAGAAGGGAGGGAAACAAAACATGATTGGACTATGAATGGAAAAATTAGTTCCTGTCTAGAAATCTATACCTAGCTAAACTGCCCATAAAGTTTGTGGATTGATTACCAACAACTTTATGAATGGTTTTAAATTTTTACCTTACACTCTCTTTTTTCAGGAAACTAGAAGACAGGAACTACTGAATTGAAGTCAAAAGATATAGGTGTAAGAAATAGCAGCTCCAACATAGTAGAGCAGCAAGGGGGAACCCCCAGATTTTGTGCCAATAGATCCTGGGATGTTATTGTGCCCAGGTATATAGATGCTGACCCATCCAGATTGGAGTACAGCAGAAGGCTCCAGAAGAGCTTTTCAGGGTACAATACCTGTGAGGTTAAGCATCCTGAGAGAAGATCTTGGTAATTGACTGAGGTTTAGGGTAGATTTTGTGATAAGGGCATAAAAAACTAATTTAAAAATGAATATAGGGAGCAAGGTGTGGTGTCTTGTGTCTGTAATCCCAGGGCTTTGGGAGCCAAGGTGGGAGGATTGCTTGAGGCCAAGGGTTTAACACCAGCCTGGGCAACATAGCAAGACCCTGTGTCTACATAGGTACATACATACATACCTACAAACATACATACATAAATGTATATCAGAAAAGTAAAGTAATTATGTTTTATTATACTAAAGCCTATGAATTTTCTTATGTATTGATGTAATCCATACATTTTGACATGTGGTATTTTGATTAGCAACTCGGTCAAAGTATTGTCCCTTTTCTCTGTGATTTCCTATTTGACCTATGAGTTGAAAAACAAATTATGAATTTTCCAAACGTAAAAGGATTTTTAAAATATGTATTTTTTGCTTGGTTTCTCATTTAATGATATTTTAGCCAAAGAATATGTCCTATATGATAAGATTATTTGAAATTCGTTGTGACTTGGTTTATAGCCAAGTGTGTAGTGATAATTAATTAATTAATTAATGAGAGAGAATCTGGTGTCATACAGGCTGGGGTGCAGTGGCCAGATCATAGCTCACGCAGCCCCAAATTCTGGGCTCAGGCTGTCCTCCTACCTCAGCCTCCTGAGTAGTGGAGACTGCAGGCACACACCACTGTGGCTGGCTATTTTATTTCATTTTATTTTTTATAGCTATGAGGTCTTGCTTTGTTGACCAGGCTGGTCTTGAACTCCTGGCTTTGGGCAGTCTTCCCAACTCAGCCTCCCAAAGTGCTGAGATTACAGATCTGAGCCACCACATCCAGCCTCTAGTCACCTCTTATAAATCTTGCATGTATGCTTGAGAATGCATTTTTTTTCTAATTATGGGCAGTTTTTCTAATTGTTTATCCAACAAATCAAACTAGGTATATGCAGGTTTTCTAAATTTTTACTAACTTTTTCATCTGTTGACTTATCAATAATTGGCAGAGGTGTGCTAAAATTTTCCACAGTGGTAGTGGATTTGTTAATTTCTCTGTGTAGTTTTATTAGTTTATGCTTTATATATTTTGAGCTAGTAAGAGCATAAAAGTTTTTAATTGTGTGTCTTCCTGGTAAATTAAACCTTCTTATCTATGTTAGTGACCTCTCTATCCTTAATACTATTTTCTTAAAATCTATTTTGCTTACTATCAAACCACCTTTTTAGCTTTATTTTGACAGTAACCAAACCAGCATGGTACTGGTACAAAAACAAATATATAGACCAATGGAACAGAACAGAGGCCTCAGAAATAACAGCACACATCTACAACCATCTGATCTTTGACCTGACAAAAATAAGTAATGGGGAAAGGATTCCCTATTTAATAAATGGTATTTGGAAAACAGGCTAGCCATATGCAGAAAACAAAAACTGGACCTGTTCCTTACACCTCATACAAAAATTAAGATGGATTAAAGACTGAAACATAAGACCTAAAACCACAAAAACCCTAGAAGAAAACCTAGGCAATACCATTCAGGACATAGGCATGGGCAAATACTTCATGGCTACACCACCAAAAGAAGTGGCAACAAAAAACAAAACTGACAAATGGGACCTAAGTAAACTAAAGAGCTTCTGCACAGCAAAAGGAACTATCACTAGAGTGGACAGGCAACCTACAGAATGGGAGAACACTTTTGCAACCTGTCCATCTGACAAAGGTCTAGTATCCAGAATCTACAAAGAACTTAAACAAATTTACAAGAAAAAAACCCGATCAAAAAGTAGGCAAAGGATATAGACAAACACTTCTGAAAAGAAGACATTTATGCAGCCAACAAACATATGAAAAAAAGCTTGTCATCAATGGTCATTAGATAAATGCACATCAAAACCACAATGAGATACCATCTCACACCAGTTAAAATAGTGATGATTAAAAAGTCAGGAAACTGGCAACAGCCGCAGCGACGTCACTGTCCTCGCGGCCTGGCACACAGCGCTCCGGCCGCCGAATGCCCGTGGACGCGCATCTCTTCCCAGATTTCCTGCTTCCTGGGCCAGCCAAAGCCGCAGTAAATGAGGCCTTGAGAGAAGAGGAGGCGATACCCTGTGCCCGAGATGCAGCTGCCGTTGGTGACGTGACAAGTGCCAGTGTTAGTGCCAGTTCCAGCTCCAGGGCCTATGCCATGGCTGAAGCAAGCATCAGCACCAGCACCAATGCAAGTGCCAGTGCCAGGGCTAGAGGCATGGCTGGAGCAATGACAGTACCTGGGACAGTGCCAGTGCTGGTTGCAGTCTCAGGCTAGTGTCAGGGACTCCTCCTGCCAGTAGTGAAGGCTGAAGCTGAGCCTTCACTTTGTTTTGCTGTGGGTAGTCGAAAGGTCCCCACAGCTGTGGGCACTGGGGCCCTGACTTTTCAAGAGTCGAGGGGTAGAGTGGGGTTAGGGAGAACATGCTGCCCATGGTGTCTGTGTTCCAGTTCTATTTGTGTTTCTCAGTGATTTAGCCTTCAATTTGCGTATTGCAAAGTTCTGTTTGCCTTAACTTGTTTTAAAATGATAGTTAACTTACAGGAAATAAACCGGTTAAAACTACATGGTGATATAATTATATCAAAGTTGAAACAAAAACCATACCCAAGCATCTTTTTTTTTTTTTTTTAAATCCTTTGTTCCATAGACACTTGATTGAGTATTTAAGTTGGACATCTAGGTTTATGAATGACGTTGGTCAAATGTTTTATTGTTCTCTGTTTCGGTTTTAGCAGGAGGGATTTGCTGTTTCATAAAGTAAATCAGGATACTATATCATTTAATGGCTGTAACTTATCACAGCACTGGAATAAGCTGTTTTTTGGAAGTTTGAGAGACTACCAGTACACTCATTCCTCCCTCCAAATATAAAAAGATAAAAAGGCGATCAGTGTCTGTTGCACAAAATTACAACCGCTCTCTGCTTGTATTTGCCTAATTCTCCAGAATGTAGGGAAAAATAAAAATTCAATGAATTAGAAAAAAAAAAAAAAAAAAGTCAGGAAACAACAGATGCTGGAGAGGATGTGGAGAAATAGAAACACTTTTACAGTGTTCGTGGGAGTGTAAATTAGTTCAACCATTGTGGAAGACATTGTGGCAGTTCCTCAAGGATCTAGAACCAGAAATACCGTTTGATCCAGCAATCCCATTACTGGGTATATACCCAAAGGATTATAAATCATTCTACTATAAAGACATATGCACACGTATGTTTATTGCAGCACTGTTTACAATAACAAAGACCTGGAACCAATCCAAATGCCTGTCAATGATAGACTGGATAAAGAAAATGTGGCACATGTACACCATGGAATACTATGCAGCCATAAAAAATGATGAGTTCATGTCCTTTGCAGGGACATGGATGAAGCTGGAAACTGTCATTCTCAGCTAACTGACACAAGAACAGAAAATCAAACACTGCATGTTCTCACTCATAAGTGGGAGTTGAACAATAGAACACATGGACACAGGAAGGGGAACATCATACACTGGGACCTAGGGGCTAAGGGAGGGACAGCATTAGAAGAAATGCCTAATGTAGATGACACGTTGATGTGTGCAGCAAACCACCATGGCACATGTATACACCTATGTAACAAACCTGCACGTTCTGCTCATGTATCTCAGAACTTAATTAAAACTAAAAAAATTTTGTCAGAAACATTTTTCCTGTCTTTTTACTTTGAATCTTTCTGTACTTCTGTTACCAGTTTATTGGAAGACATTTTTATTACCTTCAAACAACATGACAGATTCTTTGACATGTTTAAATCATTTTTGTTCCATTTCTAATATGCAAGGACTTTTGTTTACCCTTTCACTTATCACGTTAATTTTTTTTTTGGCTATTAAATTTGTTTTATTTATGTTTTCCTTTTTTGTTTGTTTTCCTATATTTCTCATTCTATTTTTTTCTCTAGTGATTAGAAGGTTATATTCCCTGTTTCTGTTCTTTGGTGATTATCCTTGAAATGGTATCACATATACTATTCTTAAGTTAATATCTTAACTCCAGGCTTAGAGTGATATAAGGACTTCGGAACACTTGAGCTCCAGTCACCCCCCGTTTGATTTCCTTATTATCCATTTTCAGTTTTTCAACTCTCTACACATTTAATATTACTGATTACGTTGTTATTCTATCCTACTATACTTATTTTGTGTTTGTTTGTATTTTTGCTGATTAGTTCTTCCTGTATCTCAGACCTTTATTCCACGATAATTTCCTTATTCCTAAAGTACATAATTTAGAAATCATTTTGTTTTTTGAGACAGGGTCTCACTCTGCCACCCAGGCTGGAGTGCAGTGGCACAATCATAGCTCACTGCAATCCCCAAACTTTTGGGCTCAAGGGATCCTCCCATCTCAGCCTCATGAGTAGCTGAGACGACAGGCATGCACCACCACACCTGACTAAATTTTTTATTTTTTGTAAAAACAGGGTCTCACTTTGTTGCCCAGGCTGATCTCAAACACCTGGGCTCAAGTAATCCTCCCGCCTCAGCCCCCCAAAGTGCTGGGATTACAGGTGTCAAACACTGTACCTGGTCTAGAAATCATTTTAGTAATTAGTAAATACTTCAGGTTCTGTAGGTAGAAAATCCTCCTAGTTTTTCTTTGTCTAAAAATGTCCCAGGCCAGTGCTGGTGGCTCACACCTATAATCCTGACACTTTGGGAGTGTAGGTGGGTGGATCACTTTCTGAAGTGGGTAGATCACTTTAGACCAGGAGTTCGAAACCAGCCTGGCCAACATGGAGAAACCCTGTCTCTACTAAAAATACAAAAATTAGCCAGCTATGGTGGGGGGTGGGGGGCACCTGTAATCCCAGCTATTCAGGAGCCTGAGGCAGGAGAATCGCTTGAACCCAGAAGGTGGAGGTTGCAGTGAGCCGAGATTGCACCACTGCACTCCAGCCTGGGTGGCAGAGTGAGACTCCATCTCATAAATAAATAAGTAAATATTTTTTTTAAAGTCCTTAATTTGCCATCATTCTTGAAAGGAGTTTTACTGATATCATTCTGAGATGGCTTTCAGAATTCTGAAAATAATCCAGTCTTCTGGCTTCATTCATTGCTCTTTAGAAGGTTGATTTAAGTCAAATTTGTATTCCTTTGCAGATGTGCTGTCTTCTAAATCTTCTCATTGGGTGTGCTTTTAAAATCTTATTTGTGTACTTCTTGCTTTCAACAACTCATAGTCTTTTATATTCTCTAGTTTCATTACAGTGAGTATGTTAGTTGGATTTCCATTTCGTTGTTCTGCTTGGTGTTTGTTTGTTTTTGTTTTTGAGAAAGGTTCTTGGTCTGTTGCCCAGGCTAGAGCACAGTGACATGATCACAGCTCACTGCAGCTTCAACCTCCTGGGCTCAAGTAATCCTCCCACCTCAGCCCCTGAAGTATTTGGGACTATGGGCATGTACCACCACACCCAGCTAACTTTTTTTATTTTTCCTAGACACAAAATCTCACTACATTGTCCAGCCTGGTCTTGAACCCCTCAGTTCAAGTGATCCTCCCACCTCGGCCTCCCAAAGGGCTGGGATTACAGGTGTGAGCCACTGTGGCCAGCCCTACTTGGTATTTGTTTTTCTTCCTCTATCTTAGATCAGTTGGGAAAATTTCCCAGTTACTATATCTACATATTATTGCTTCCCTTCCTCTGTCTTGTTTTTCTGAAATTCCTATTAGACACATGTTGGACCTTCTCACTTTACTCTATTTCTGCACCTTCTCTCATGTTTTTTTCTTCTTAGCTCTCAAGCTATATTTTAGGTAATTTATTTAGATTTATACCTTAGATATCATATATACACTCTTCAGATGCATATAGCCATTTGTTACACCTACTCAATGAATATTTTTGTTTCAACAAATGTAGCTTTCATTTTTGAAAATGTAGTTTCATCCTTCCTCAAATCTATCAAGTCATTTTATGTAGTTTCTTGTCTCCTATCCATATTTTGGGGACTTTTAACCTTTTTAAAACAGTTATTCTATATTTTCTATCTGTTAATTCTAATATCTCAAGCCCTTAGCAGGTCTGTTGTTATTTCTTTGGACTGTTCCCACATGACAGTTTGTTTCTTTGTGTTTGATTTTTATTTGAGCATATCTTTGTTTGGCCTTACTCCGTGGTGAACTAGCAATCCAAGTAAATATGCTTTCTTTCAGACAGGATATATTTTTGCTTCTCTTGCAATCCAGCGGGCCCTGTGGGCCTGGAAGACGTCATTAAGAAGTCTACAAT